ATAGTTATGGTAGGTATGAAATAAAATGTAAACCGAACAGTATATTCCTTTGAAATAATCTGAAAAAGAGTAATCTCGAGCAAAGAAATTGATGCTTTATTAGAGGTGTAATAATAAAAAAAAAACTTACTATTTCAGATTAAAAAAGAAAACTTTTGTCATTCAATTATGAACATAAATGATCTTTTATATGTAGAGCTCCACGTTAAAAAAAAAAAAAGCTCTCAGCCTTTCCGCTCTGGTGAAGAAGAAACTCCAGCGAAGGTGTATGGTGGAACGACCTCAACGACGACTTCTTGGACGACCTCGAGGACGACTTCTTTGACGACGCCTAGAGAAATTCAGCCTTTCCATTCTGGTGAAAACCAGAGTGGAAAGGCTGAAAGGTTGCCGGTAGCTGTCCAGAGTTTTGTGTCGACATTTGTTTGATCACGGACACGATACTGGGGAAACTAGCCCTTAATTAACAGCTCCGCTGTAAAATCGGCATGTGTATACGTAGCACAAAATACCGTTTAAGAACAATCCAGCCGAACTGGTTAAGCTTATTTCCTTATTTTATTTCCACTGCTTCATCTAATTTAGTTTTAATTAATTTTATTGGTTGCACCTAGAACCCGCACTAGCTATATCAAGATAGTATATCTAAACAAGATAGTCCAAATTAGAAATAAACCTATAGAGAAGTTCATAAAAAGTTTCTTGCAATTACCCTTGCTAACTATAGGATTTGAAACATATATCACGAGAACATCGCATTTTATCATAAATAATTGCGGCAGTTTTATTCGGAATGTTTTAATGCAAAGTACAGTTTTTACATTAGCACTCGCCAAGTTCTCAGCCTTTTGCTTAAAAAAGAAATACTGTGGTGAGTGTATGTTTATACAGCCTAGAACTTCGTCAGCCTCAACGGGCGACTTGCTTCCCAGCTGCAGATGAGAAATTTAGCCAGTGCAGCACAGCCGCTAGCTTGGGGTCTTTAACGTGCATCACGCAGTAGTGATACAGGATTGCACGCCGGTACGATGCTCATCCAGATCGAAACGGGCAAGGGTGAGGATCCCTGCGTTCTGCATCGTGAGCTTTCGCTCCACGTGCTCGGAGCAAGATGCTTTCATTTGAAACTTCAGTTGGATGTACAGCGCACTGACGTTGTACCGACGCTACCAAATTTCACGAGCGGCTTGCTGGGCGAGTTGTACAACTCATTAACATAGTTAATGTAAGTGAGACTGACAGCAGAAAAGTTATCGGGGTTTTCTAGGCTCAACTGCAAAACTTGTTTTATTTTTTTTTTCTGTAGACTTTAATACGTGCTCTGTTTAATATGTTGTATCGCACCGGTCATCAACCCTCTAGCAAAAGTTAGGGCAGTCAGTTCGACGTCAGCGCGCTGTACGTCGAACTGCAGTTTTGGGGTGTCGTATATATGTGACAAGGGGTGTAACGTCGACACCCCCTTTATTTTTTCAGAGTGTAGTGATAAGATATTGTACAGGTCCCGAAAGCATAATTTTACAGCGCAGCTCTTAGGCGCCCGTTTCTGGCTTGAGCGGTGTCGCCGTAACCGCGCGTTGCATTATGGGAAACATCCCATAATGCAACGTGCGGGTCACGAGGGTTACCAGTGACGTCACTCGTGACCCGCCCGTGGCATCATGGGACGTTTCCTTTAATGACGTCACACGTGACGTCACGAGGATTGCAAGTGACGTCACGACCGTCACGACGGTCACGAGGAGGGAGCGAGAGAGGGGGAGGATGGAAGAGGGAGAGAGGGAGGAGGAGGGGAATACCCTCCTCTCTGTAACCTCTCCTTCTAGCTCCTCCTCAAGAGCTGCGCTCTAATTCGTCATTACAGGGACTTGTAAACGTCTTTCCTTTTTTTATGGTTTTCTCCATTGCAATGTAAGGCACTCTTTGACACTACTCGTTTTTTTTCTCAAGCAAAAAGGAAGTTTTGTGCATTGTTCATACGCCGTGCAAAGTAGTTCTTACAAGATTTGGTTGTCGGAGAAACAAGCGATGCTTTTGGCATTTGAAAGATGCATGTTTTGATAACATGTATCTAAACTAAAATGCACCTACATAGGTATATCTTAATACTCTAAAGGGGAAAATGAGCAATACTCCTCAATGTGCTGGACATCTTTTACTACGGTTCCTGAGGTGAAAACGAGTATAGAGATCGAGAAGATAGCGACTGCAGTTGCTTGCCTACCTTCCCCGCTCATCGTCACCTATGTCATCTGCTACAGCCAGTTGTACATAGAGGTCCCGGCGTTCCTTTCGGTGTCGCGGACTGCACTCCACGCTTTGCAAAACTGCTAAGCTGGCTGCCTCGGTGGCTGAGGCAAACCACCGTCCTAGGGATACCCAGGTGGCGGGTTCGAATCCCGGCCGAGGTGCTAGCAATCTGACGGAGGCTTATTGCGAAGAAGGCGCCGTGCGACCGAGCTTTCGGCTGCATGTCAAAAGATCCTCAGGTGGTCAAAATTAATCCTCAGCCCACCGCGGGGGCGCGCCAGATGCCCAGCAAGTTGGCACGTAACACCCCCAAATTTGACTTTTGGCCTGTGACCTAGCAGTCTGCAGTTGTTTCAAAGTGCTACGAGTTGAGGGAGCGCCTATCAACGACTCTAGAACGAAAGCCCACCGAGCGTGACAAATTTATAAAATTATAGTTAATTGTGACCAAAAATTTGAAATTACTGAGACAAAAATGCTCAATAGCAACTAGAATAATTTTTCGTCAAAGTTAATGAATTCCGAGCTATTCAAGGTAATTAAAGTACAGGAATTATATTACTGTAGTTGAATTACTACCCAAGTATGGTGACAACACGCTCGCGGTGACCTGGGGCAGAATGACGACGCGAAGGTTGGAGAAACTGAGCCGCGGCACGTTACTGCTAAGTCTAGAAGAAACGTCAGTGCCGTGTGTAAAATGTTTTTGCTTGCGAACGGATGTGTATTGCCATTCTCGCGGTCAAACTAATGGCCTGGTTGTCTTCTGCCTGGCGGAGAATCCTCACCCCATTGACCTCTTCACTCCCTCTCCGTACTATTCACCCCTTTCCCAAAAAGGGCGGCTGGAAGAAACCTCAGTGTCATGTGTAAAACGTTTTGCTTGCAAACGGCCATCTCGCGGTCAAACTAATGGCCTGTTTGTCTTCTGCCTGGCGGAGAATCCTCACCCCATTGACCTCTTCACTCCCTCTCCGTACTATTCACCCCTTTCCCAAAAAGGGTGGCTGGAAGAAACCTCAGTGTCATGTGTAAAACGTTTTGCTTGCAAACGGCCATCTCGCGGTCAAACTAATGGCCTGTTTGTCTTCTGCCTGGCGGAGAATCCTCACCCCATTGACCTCTTCACTCCCTCTCGCGCTATTCACCCCTTTCCCAAAAAGGGCGGCTAGAAGAAACGTCAGTGCCATGGGTAAAAAAGTTTGCTTGCAAAACGGATGTGTATTGCCAATTTCGCGGTAAAACTAATGCCGTTTGTACTCTGCCTGGCGGAAAAGCCTCACCCATTGACCTCTTCCTCCCTCTTGCGCTATGGACCCCTTTCCCAAAAAAGGGTGGCTGGAAGAAACAGTGTCATGTGTAAAACATTTTGCTTGCGAATGGATTGCCATTCTCGCCGTCAAACTAATGCCCCGCTTGTTTTCTGCCTGGCGGAAAATCCTCACCCCATTGAGCTCTTCACTCCCTCTCGTACTATTCACCCCTTTCCCAAAAAGGGCGGCCAGGTCTAGTCATTCGCAGGTTAAGAAAAGCAGGGCAAGTCCCTCCCACAAAGGCATATGGCTACAAATGGTTTCCCCTCTCCAGCATTTGCTCCGCTAAAGTGGAAAGGGCTTCGTGGGAGGATCTTGTTCAGCTTTTCTTAGAGGGACACTAACACCACCCAAAACATTTTTTTTTCCAGGCAATTCATCATGGTGTCACAAGACTACCCAATTAATAGTTTGCTACAGTGTCACACATATTAATCAAAAACGCAAATGCTTGAAACCGAAACCGGACTGGGGACGAAGCAGAAACATAGAGGAGGATAAAGATACCTAACATCACGTAACTGTGCAACATTTTTTTTTTTTTTTCAGCTGACGTATTTGCAGCTTTTTAGAAGCCACAAAAAAATGAGTATCATATTTTCTGTTCCTTTCTAGTATTAAGTGTGTGCCTTTGATGACTCGCCACGACTTTGATTATCTTTGGCGGTTCTGTCTAAACCATAGAAAACGGCACGTGACCACAGAGAAGTGACTGAACGCGACTCAAACCAGCCAGTTCTAGATCGGAAGTTTTCGGGCGAAAAGAAAACAAATTTCGAGTCACAAATTGTGTTTTGGGTAGTTGGGTATGTCATGTACAAACAAAAACCTGGGCAAGCATAAATACCCTATCAGAGCCCCTTTAGCCTGCAACAAACTGTAAGAGCTAGTTTTCACCTTCCTGGCTGCGTATTGCATCTCGCTCCGAAGTGATTTTGCCAAGCATGGTGCCATTTAACGCCAGGTTGGTAGGAATAAAGATTATCAAAGATAAACAATGTGAGCATGACACCCGGGATGCTCCTCGTTTAGTTGGGGTATACGCACAGTAGCTGAATGGCCAGTGTGTCATGAACCTCTGCTTGGTTCAGGCAGAGCAAATACTTTACTAGGAGAATACATTCTACACAGCCCATCTGCATTAGACAGTGCATCCACGGCACCAGCTCCTCCCCTATCGGTGTGGGCGCTTTGCACCCGAGGGAATGCACATGTACGGTATATCACTCTGTTGCCCAGTGCCAGGGAGAGAACGCTGCCTCCAGAGACAACCGTCTCGACGGGTACCAGCAACGATAGCCAGGCTTTGTGCCAAACTGCGCACAGCCCGTTAGCACCGAGACCACTGAATTTTTGCAGAGTGAAATGCATTCCCCTAGTAAAGTTTGTAATCAAAGTTTGCACTGAAAGGTGCGGAGAGGCGACAAAACAACAAACTTTTGGGGTACTTTTTATACACTACATTAAAAACAAGCTACAGTCCGAGTTGAAAAGAACAGAAGCAAGTTTCACAATACGCCAGTGAAATGGTAACACAACAAAGGAATCTTTGAGCATTCACTCCAGCGCACAAACAACCCGAGAGACGTGCTCTGCCTTTCCTGTGTACAGCAGCAAGCAGGCTATTGTGTCAATGTGAAGAGGACAACCAGCTTTCGTGCCGTCCCAGTCGAGGCAGCTTCCGGGAATCAAATGTGTGGCAGAAAGTGGCACGTTCACCCTCACTCTGTTCGGGGTTCACACGCAGCACACAAACACACACAAAGAAAAGGAAAACAAGGTGCGACATGGGGGCAGAGACTGTCCAGTGAGGTAAACCTTGTCTAGTTATGAACGGTAAATTCTCATAAATATTGGCTCTCTCGCTAGGTATAGTAGGTCTTGACACATGTTGTTCACATAGTTCTCTATTGTTAGACTATACAAATAAGGTATCATACAAATGCTTTTTGGATACTTTTATGCACACGCATTTACAAAAACAGTTTAAGGTCAGTGACAAAGAGCTGGGGTAAAGTTGCGAGCACATATTATGTCACTTGTACAAGTCTCAAAAACTAGCTGTCGATGTGCCATTTTACAAAAATCCTACAGCTGCCATGCACGGACGAGTGCCGAAGAGATGCCGCGTAAAACAGCACCGAGCTGGACGAAGATTGTACTCCAACGAACGTCGGCACATTCGGAGAAAGAAGGAAATGGCAGTATATTTGGAAGAGACTCTGGAAGTTCTAGATTGCGAGGAGAGAAACGTGCCTCTCGAATATGTAGTTATAATTTCCTCGCTATTGAGCTTTGGTGACTCGTGGCAGAAGAAGACTGCCCACGTCGGGAGTCCAGATGGCACTAGAGCATAGAGAGCAGTTGGTGGCTCTGTGCCGGTTCCACTGCTCGTCAGTGGAACTGTTATTACTTTCCACGAGACGCAGCCAATGGCACGTTGCGGGTGCCTTGACACTGCCTAGGTGGGACGTGGTACAAATGAGAGGAATTTGCTACACTCCCTACCACAGTGGCACAAACAGGTGCATAGGCAACAGTAAACAGCAGGCACCCAGACCATAGAGACTGCTCTAACCATCTGCCACATCCGTGTTCCCGCCATTCATTCATTCCCACCGTAACTCGACAGCAAACAGGGAGCAGTTTTGCAATCGAGTCAAAATGCCAACTTCTATATCTGCATTAGCATCGATTCATTTAACGTAACAACAACAGAACTTAAACAAACAATTTTCCAGGTACTGGACTGGCAAAGTTTCAATCGTAAATTTAGGCACGCTAAAAAAAATTTGTCGTATGACTCCATGCACACCAGGGTGGGAAACCAACATGACAGCCAAAGTTTTTGTTCAAATAAAAGCTTAAAGCATATCCATCTGATAAAGGACCAATGTAAGCACCAAAGATTTGTTTGTTCTCTTCCGAAAATGTGGACAACGTTATGGACAAAGTAAAATAAAGTTACAGCATGGGCCACAAAGGAAGATGGTATGCCAACTACAATAAATAAAACAGCTATTTCCAGCAGCAACACACTCTATACTACATGAACGCCCGGGAAGACAGTCGATTAGTAGACCCAGAGATCCCCCCAAAAGAAGGCAGCCGAGTGAGATTTCCTAAAGGTACGAAAGCGTCGGTAATTATGCGCAGGGTATTGCAAAAACACAATGAGCTTGTGGCCAGTTATTTTTCTGAGTGTGCTGAAGAACAGCCATTCTGTGGGTCCCTTAAAGTGCCCCCTCTGAGGCCCTGCAGTGCAACGCGACCTCGAGGCCTTGGCAACTGCTGGGGCCGGACTCCAAGGGCGAAATCGGCCCCCTGCCGGCTCGGCCAAAGGGACAATTGGCTCGCGGAGCCAAGACTCGTAGACGGTCGACGCCTGCGAGATACTCGAGGTGCTTGCGTGGGTTTGGCGAGGGAGGGCAACATTCGCAAACCGGCTCACAGCGAAACACAGCCTCGCCATAAACAAAATCTCGGCATCGCTACGAGAGCGCCGTTGACTACATCCTCTCGGAAGGCGACCTTGACCACTCTAGATCGTCGCTAAAAAAGGCCGAGCACAAACAAACGTCCCCCCCTAGGTCTGGAAAACAAACTCTCCTTGGCTGCAGGTAATCTGCTCGACAGACAAAAGCGTAGAAAGCAATCGCACCAAAAGGGATCGAAGGGAAGTATGGGGGACAAGTGCTCGATGATTGTCAGCAAGCAGAACGGGCGAGGGATCGATCGCCGACACGCAGTCTCCCGCACGCGTGAGGTGACTCCTACGGGCTGTGCATTCGCTACGTGGATCTCTATGTACAACAATTACCGCTTGCATAGCGTAAGTACCTCGGCGAGAAAAGAAGGCAACCTAGCGACCGCCGTGGACGTTAGTTTGGACCGCGCAGAGGGATGCGGCAAATGCCGTCAGCGGTTCGCATCTCCCCTTGAGTGTGACGCGCGTCTGGGATATGAGCAATGCTGTTCTTCCCGCAGAATATAATCCTATTAGTAGGCACTACTCGACACGCGAGGACAGGGGCTGGACAGAACGGGTCGGCTTCGCTCCTTGGGCCCACTGGCGGGGATCCCTGGACTGGCCGGGGGCTTGGCACGGGGGGTTCAGATGGGGCGCGTGAAGTTGGCTGGGAACAGGCCTTTTTCTCCGGATGACTCCTTGATTCCCATGAGCCAGCCTTCCTCCTGCCAAGAGAGCGCACGCAGAATATGTCGCAGAGTGTACTTTGCAAAAGGCTGTTTGCAAACATCTCAAAAAAGCGTTACCAGGCGCGAAGCGTCTCGAAACGGTCGTGACCCTGCTGCCACATTTGTTAGTAATGTATTTACTCATTTCAAGATTTTAATCCGAGGAGAAAACCCAGTATGTCGTGCACTTGGGAGAAGGAAAAGTTGCGAGAGGGAGGAGGCAGTTCAAAATATTGGAATGAGTGACGATGGAGTCGCACGTTTAGGGTGTTATTAATCTGGGGGCTCCCTCTATTATCGGCCAGAAAAATCGCTTCCTACACGTAGTGATTTCACATTTTCATCAAAGATGTATTTTAGCGGTGCACTCCACTTCATGAAATTTCAAGGCATAGTTCCCTTCCCCCAAAACTAAGAATCCTCTCGACAGAGTTAACAACGGATGCCGATGCAGACGACCGTATTATTCGAGGGTCGCGCTTGTGGCACCATCTCCAGATGAGTGCAGTAAGCAGACGAGGTGGTACTCGGTCGGAAGCAGACGACGCTGTCGCTAGCCCATTGGGTTAGAAATGGTGCCATTTTGACATTGGGGAAACCTACTTGCACGCTGTATCCCCCTTTAGGCTTTCGTTGGTTCCTTTGTAATCATACAAAGGCAGTGCCAGCATGCAACAGGACAGGTGTGACGTACCTGCTCCTCAGGGTCGTCGTACTCAATCACCCTGATGATCTCTCCGCTTTCAAAGTTGAGTTCATCCACATCCTCAGCCGTGTACTTGTAAGTGGCACGCACCTGCATGGAGGAAACGAAGATCACTGCCTAGCACTGCACCAGACACCAGCTAATGAAGGTGTCCGTAGGTTTGGAAGAGAGGTGACCAAAAACATGGCCTCCGAGATCCCGAAGCGCGCGAACGCTTCTCCGGCCGTCCCATTCGTGCGGAGAGGGCGTAATTGAAAAAAGAGAAGGAGGCGGCGTGTCTCCGCGGGGAGGCGCTCCCAACCCAGTCATCGACAGCATGGCGCGAGGCTGAAGAGTTCAAGAAAAAGTCTTTTTACGTCGAGTTACTGCAACTTATAATTAAAAATGTTTGGGTATTGTGGTAGAACGATGAATAGCTGCTACGGGGACGTAGATAGAAAATTTGTTATGCTTATTTAATTATTTAATTTGAGATATTCATCTGGACATGTTGCGGCTAGCGCTACAAGCGCGCCTTTTGATATATTTGATTGCAATTTGTAGCACGTATAAAACTAAAAAAAGAAAAGCTCCGTATATAAAAAAATAGTACTTCCCTAAATAAAAATATTCATGTTGCAATATATTTTTTTTACCTTCGCATGTTGTTTGGCGTAGCTTTTTGAGCCTCACGAGGTCTGATACTATATATGAAGTCCGTGTTGTCCTTGTTTTAATATTTTTAATATTACGCAATTTTTGCGGGTCGTATTGCGGTGTTTGCTTCTACTAGAAGTACCTTTAAGCCGAGGTCACTCTGCTTATACATTATACAAAAGACAGTCTGCAGGTATCAGTCACCACGATATCGTTGGTTCAAACGCTGCGTGCCAACTCTCTAATTGAACTGCCTTGTGGCATTCGAAGCTGAGATCTCGTGGTGACTCGAGTGTCAATCTGTTTGCAGACTGTCTTTTGTATGATGTACAAGCAGCGTGACCCCGGGTTTGGGGAAAAACCTTTGGCGGTGAGGTACAAGCACCTCGCAATGGTTTCGCCATTTTTTTTTATAAACCTCGTGATAATTGTAGGTACTTATTGAAAAGGTGGGGCGTTATCTTGTAAACATCTAGTTTTTGGCACATGTAGCGCAGACCACCGTATCCCGTAATGCACTTTGTGATATAACTTAATTGATATGCAAACAAACAATGGGATCTCAGGAAAAAGAAGTCTGGTTTATCCGCTATCCATTTCCGACAGCCGGCGCAGCCCGACCCGAAGCTAACTTTCATGGGCACGCTGCGCTTTATTTTAGCCCAGTATGAATAGCTCACAAATTGCGCGGCATGGCAGCTCGCTTGCAACTCCTACACATAGGTTGATTACGATGCTTACAGTAAATACTGTAAGCATTTTATTCTTGCTGATATTATTATTCGACCAATCTGCAGGCGTAGGCAGCTTGTTAAGAAAAATCACCCGATCTTCCTGTTCTGCGACCAAACACGCGCCGAAAGAACGGAAAAAACAAAAATGACAAGTAGAAGTAAACAAAACCACGTGTCACAGTTGGAAAGGAAGGGACACATCGCGACGGGTTTGGACAAAAGACGGGCAAAGTTCTAAATTAGCCACTTTCGCTGCGCACAACCGTTAAAAAAAAAAAAAAAAAAAAAAAAAAAAAAAAAAAAAAACAGCAATGTTGTCGTCGCTTGCGGTGGTCTGCGAGAAATTGTTCAGGAAGAGTACCCCTCCGGGAAACCTCTTCACCCCTATTGGGGATGCAAGCACTCGTGCGTACAGATGGTTTACGCCGGCGAGGGTGCACACGTTGTTTAGGCGCGTGTATGTGCGTGTTTGTGGTGAGAAGCGCTTGTATGATGGCGGCGCCGACGGGGACAAAAAGAAACGCCGTGCCGCTAGTCCTCTGGAAGAGCATTCGCTGCACACACCGAACCATACAAAAACATATACCCACACACACATGCTTTAGCATCTGTTTATCCCCCCACTGTGGTTCCTCTACCAACCCCCGAACATAATTCCAAAGAACAAGCCGTTAACAAAGAAAAAAAGAAAGTAATGGTCGGTTTGGCTTGCTTTGGCCCCCCTTGTAGATGTGAATACAAGACCCGTACCCTGCCCGGTCCCTACAGATTGCAATCAAATATACCAAAAGGCGAGCTTGTAGCGCTAGCCGCAACATGTCCAGATGAATATCTCAAATTAAATACAGTAAATAAATAAGCACAACAAATTTTCTATCTCCGTCCCCAGAGCAGCTGTTCACCGTTCTACCACAATACACAAACATTTGTAAGTATAAGTTGCAGTAACTCGACGTAACAAGACTTTTTCTTGAACTCCTGAGCCTCGCGCCACGCTGTCCATGACTGGGTTGGGAGCGCCGCCTCGCGGCGAGCGACGGAGTTAGCGCAATTACACTCTTCTGCTGGGGAGCGAGACGATTGGGACGGCCGGAGAAGCCTTCGCGCGCGCGCTTCGGGATCTCGGAGGCCATGCCAAAAATGATGCTGTGACAGAAATACACTAGAGAGGGCACTGACTATCATCCCAGAGATACCGTTAGAAACGTATAGGAAGAGGTGCCGACATCTGTGCACCAACTGTGTCACATAGAATACTTTCTTGCAGTACTGCTCAAAATTTAATACTGTACGAAGAAAGTGCAGATAGCCATTTTGAGAATGAAGGGACAACCGTGCACCTCAAGGGCAGCACTCCATGAATTCAGCCAAGCATCAAAACATGCCGCGACTCAAGAAGAACTGGGGCTTCTTAAAGGGGCGCGGAAACCAAATTCCAGCGCTCTATTTTTCGCTTTAATGTGTTACGTGTTGTAACCTCCAAAATACCCGTCTTTCGTTGAAAGGCACAAAAAAACTAATTTTAAAGCTAATTAAACAATCTTTCAATGTGCACCTGGTGGATGCATGTGGAGCCTATTTGGGAAGTAATCTAGAAATGTTGGGGAACTTGCTACGTAGTCATGACGTAGCAACTTCCATTATGTAGCCCCACTAAACGTCGGAGCAGCGTCGCTCTTTGGAATTCAACATTTTCCTTCTTAGCTTTCTTCTCCAACTCACAAATCGCGCATTGTACCGAACAGTTCAAGAAAACGGAGAGGGACTCCCCTCTTGATCAAACCCTTAATTGTGTACCCGGACACAACCATTCTACCCCTAGAAGATTAGCCCGTCGCTCAAAACTCGGACAAAAGTTGCTTTTCCCAGCCAGTTCAGCCCTAAGCTGACAGTGCTGTAAAAGCTACGCACTCCTTGGGCCAGCCACATGCTCGTCACCCCACGGGTACTTCGAACGGCTCGGTTGTAACGCATTGACGCTATCGACATTACCACAACGCTGACAACGCCACCAATGGCAAAGCTCATAACCACACCAGCCTTGCTATGTCACGAATGCGGGGAATTTTTTCTGTTTTTGTTTGCGCCGAATATCCCATGACGCATTGCACTCTCCGTTCGCTCCCCTTCAAGCGCTTGCTCGAGTGCACTGTTTGGAACGAAAAATATAGCCAGTCACACAAAATACAAACTTGTGATTACCACTTACAGTCATTATCTGTCATGCTTGACTCATTTCCGAACAAAATTTGAATATTTCAATTTTCGTTTCCGTACCCCTTTAATAAGGGGGTCTGCTTCCTGCCAGCCATGTGTTTAGAGTGCAGCTCAGCGTGGTACTGGACCCTTTTTCCTCCGAGAACTCAAATCTCTCACCCTGTAAAGGACTCCAGCTGGGAGGTCGGTAGTGGTGGCTCCAACAGGGATGTCGTACAGTTCTTCCAGGTTCCTGTCAGCGTGGTGCTCCTTGTTGATCTGTAAGCCACGGGGCAACAAGTGCCAACTGGTGTTACACAAGGAGAGCTTCTGCATGCACTCTTCTGGTCATATTCCAATGAAAAATTATGAGACTAAAAATCGTAAGAATTATCTGGGATTCTGTGTAAACCAATAAGACATTATCAGGCTCTACTGCCCTTTAAAAGTTCTGTAACTTAAATAATGTGCTTATAAAAAGAAAAAAAAAACACCTCATGAAACAAAGTTTGCACCATATAAGTAAGTCTCAGACTCTTCAGCACGGTTGAATTATAGGGAGCACTTTAGCCTAAGCGTGCCACCTAGGGTAGGCAGTCCTGTCCATGATGGGACAAGACTGACCATTTCGGAGTGCTCAACAATAGTCCAGACATGTCATCCAGGATATACTGTCACGTCTTGGACAGGAAAAGACTGCAAGTCCCACAGCAACAGTGGTCTCGCATGCCAACATGTAACCCTCTCCTGGGTGGGATGGGAATGTCTGTCCTGGGGGCTATGCAAGACAGCGGGACGAAGGGATTGGGACATTGCCGCCCACTGCAATTGGTCAGCGGCGTGATGTTGACCAATCGCAGGAGGCGGCATTGTCCTGGTCCCTTCGTCCTGCAGTTTTGCATAGCACTCCTGGAGTGGTCAACACATGCCATCCAGGACTTGCAGGCCTCTCCTGGATGGGATCAAACTGCTCATCCCATGGTCCACACATGCCATCCATGACATGGTCCTGTTCTATACGGGACATGACTGTCCATCGCAGGGTTGTAAACAGCGGTCCACACATGCCATCCAGGGCACGCGGTCCTGGTCTACATGGGACAAGGCTGCCGATTACAGAAAAGCCAACAGTGGTCACATATGCCATCCAGGACATGTAGTCATGTCCTGGATGGAACAAAACTGCCAATCCCAGTGTGGTCAACAGCAATCTACACAGGCCAGCCAGGATATGCAGTCCTGTTCTATATCAGATAAGACTGCCCGTTGCAGAGTGGTTAACAGTGGTTCAAACATGCCATCCAGGAGATGCAGCCCCGTTCTATATGGGGACAGGACTGCACGTCCTGGAATGGTCAACGGCGGTCTGGCATTGATTGTTGTGCATCTCACCTGGGCCCCAACATCGACAGGCTCGTAGTCCTTCTCATCCCTCTTGCGGGCCACGGGTGCCTGGCCATTGTGGTCCCCCGTGTAGCTGCCCCGGTAGCCCGGGGTGTTCACAAAGGAGGAATCCTCCTGCTCCAGGCGGGCAGCTGCAGCAGGAATGTACAGGCTCAGCACATGTCCAAAGAGTGTGCAGACTCTCCATCCCCTGCTTGCTGACTCTCAAGGGCATAACCACTGCACCGTCAGTAAAGAACCGCCTCATCGAGGAAGGTGGCATCCAGGTGGGGGAGGTGCAACTGTGGTCCCTGCTGTTGCACGTTTGTCGAGTCGGTTCTTTGTTGGTCCCGTTGCAAGAGCAGTTATGCTTTACTGATACTTGGTGGCCATTGTATTGATTTGGTGCACTCCAGGAGCAGAGGAACCATAATGCAAACAAACCCCCTTCTAGATGCACCTTGGCTAATTGCCTTGATAAAGCGGCAAAACTAGCCGCTTTAATCAGTGGCACTATAATATGGATATGGCGAAACAGGATATGAATAAAGAAAGTTTTAAGCAATGGTCTTCTGTACTACTGTCTGGTTGACATTAAGGGAGAAGATACACTGGGAACAATTTATGAACAAAATATGGTGAAATATGTTTATACAGGGTGATTTTTGTGTGTTGTTTTCATGTTATTTCTTCGTCATTTTTCAAGGTGGGGGGAATGGGGGATGGTCCAGAACTCTAATTTTCTATACTACTCATGTCAGTGTACAAGTTTCTCCCATAGTCACTGGCATGGCACCAACGAGAAGTTTCTCATTTGCATCATTTAGCTCCAGTAACGATGCTTCATGGGCGTTTTAGTGGCACGTGGGCACATACCAGCCAGACTCGTATTTTATACTGGCAATAGTTATTCATACTTGTTTAGCAAAACAAAACAAAAATGTTCGTGGGCTCCAAAGGTAATTCAGTATATGAAGAAACAAAAGCATCTCAGTTTCAAGCACAACTTAGGGACCACCCACTCTTTCACCATAAGTCACAAAATGTTGCTTTAATGCTCGTCTTTCTGCACGTCCATTACCTCTGGCTAAACAGCCTTGCCCATTTAGTCTGTGTCAACAAGTGTGTGTCTCTTAGCTTTTGACTGTGCTCCAACTCGTTATGAAACAAAGCAGTACACACAGCAACAAAGTGGGCGCTAGTTGGTTCATAGATAAAAAAGAATAAAAGTGCCAAAAACAACAAGACCAAGTCAGACAAGGTGCCTTCTATTGACTACTCTGCCTTGGTCCTTGTTGTTTTCAGCCCTTTTAAACCAAAACAGAGAGTCTTTGTTGGTTTCAGTTTGTTCCAACATCCTCTTTGTGCAGTCCCCAATGCCACAAGGAACACAAAGGGGTTGCGGGAACTTTCATTGAGTGTACTGAGGAACCACTAACCACAAAACAGCAGAAATTGAGCGCCACAAAACTAGAAACCTACAAAAAAAAGTACAATGAAAAAAATGCAGTGAACAGGCAGGCAAAGGCAGGCTTGGGAGCAGACCAACACTAAACAAGCAGACAACCAGCATGTCAAAATCCACAAGTTGTAGTACTACAGGTTCTAGTTACAACGTAGGAAGGATTTCATGGCACTAGCAAATTTCGGGACTGGTAGGGTGCTCACATGACTTTGCATGACATCACAAACTGTTGGCTTTAAAATGGAGAGATGGGCTAGTTAGTATATGATTCTTAAAACAATGTGTGCAGTAAAACAAGGACAAAAGAAGAGGGACACAACACGAAGCGCTACTTTCAACCGAATGCTTATTGAAAAAGACAACCATTTAGTATTATCTATCAGGTTGCTTGCGTATAAATTCAAATTCTTTATTTATTAATTTTATTTTCCTCAAAGGCCCCAGGGAGTGGTGGGCACACGAGGGGTGGGCATTACACAGCAAAATTCCAAAAACCTATTGACAGAAAACAAAAGAATACAAAAAGCAAACATCTCTATCAAGAAAGACAGGGAGAGAACACAATTGCACGCATAAAATTCATCATTATGAAACTATGAGTGATTCGGCGCTATAAGTGCTTCTTTCAACTTATCCGATTCCCTAAGCTGCACTATGTATTCCGGAAGAATGTTCCAATCTTTGGCTGTCTTAATTAATAAAAAAGGAATTTGCAAATCAATCTGCATTTGCTTTAAAATGGAGAGATGGTTCTTAAAACAATTTTATCAGATACTTTATCGGATAGGTGAACTGATTTATAGATTGGCCGTCCCCCCCGCAATCTAATGTACGATTCATACACTTCTTGCTATATTTTGCTTAACGTACCGAGGATTTTTGTGCTATATATATTTTTAGCCAGATAAGATGGGGGAGTGTTTAAGCCAACTAGAAAAAAAGGGAAATTTAAAATTTTTACATACAGATGATTGTCTAATGCTCGCACCGCAACCTCTGTGGTAGATGATAATCTTATATATAAAGTGTTGAAAATTTTTACCTTGAATTACCATGGCCCGACTTTTACTTACCAAACTACAACGTCTAATAAGCTTCAATTTTTAGACTTAAGCCTGGGTTTTTAAGAGGAATATGTGAGCAGGAAATATCAACCACGCTCAAAGAAAAAGGTTTTGCCCTTTAATTCGGCACATTCCAAGTCAGTGAAAGGGGGGATCGCTTCCTCCTTAATGGAAGCATACCTTGCAAAGTCATGCAAGCATGCCATGAATAGCAGTTTTTGCAACCAGGTAAACTGCCTCAAATTAGCTAACTACCCTGAGCATTTCCTGAAGGAGGTGGCCAAAACACTTGTCTCTAAGATGAAAGAGAAAACTGAGAAAGCATGTGTCTCAAGAAAAAAAACAAAAACTGTGGTCTATATTCAAAAGCTTTCACACAACCACAGCTCATCTTCAAGTAACAGGGTGTTTTCGGCCCCCTCAGTAACTTTCCGGCCCATGCTCGAAAATCAGCAACAAAAAGGATGAAGACGATCTGTGCAAAAAGAAACACTGAGAGCAGTACATAGAATGTGCCACCTCAGTTTATGACATCCCGACAACTTGCGGAAAAACATACGTGGGCCAAAAGGGAAGATGCGTTAACAACAGGGTAGGCGAGCATGAGTCATTCGTTCATTGTGATGGATGCCCATGCACCCCAGGTTCTAGAAAAAACAAAAATCCTAGGGACATTAAGTAGCGAAATACCGCGAGAAGTGTATTAATCGTGCAACATTAGATTGCGGGGGGCAGCAACTGTACAAGTGCACCGTCAGTTCATCTATCTGATAAGGAATTTGAATTTCTATGCCGGCAACCTGATAAATAGTCCCTTTTTGTTTTTTGCAACAAACATTCAGTTGAAAGTAGTGCTTTGTGTTGTGTCCCTCTTCTTTTGCCCCTATTTTACTGTACATATTGTTTTAAGAAATTGTTGACATCAGTCCCAACCACCTACGAGGATGGCCAGCAAAAATGCGTGGACTCGCAGAAATTTTGCGGCAAATAGGCAAACAGCGAACAGTACACGAAGCTCCAGCTTTGTTAGGCTGGTCTTTTCACACTTGTTAAACTTGAAACCACAGCAATGCAATACAAAACAACTGCTACCTTTTATCCAATGAAAAGGTTATTTGCATGTCTACCATACCACAGATAAACCAATGAATCCATGGTTTGTGTGAATAGTTTGTTTTATCAATATTCTGAATCATAACTCCCAAAGAGAAATGCAGCTAGAAAATAACATTTCTTTCTCATGTCTTGGCAACTTAGTAGATTGCCAAGGTATGGCAAGTCCTTAAAAGAACCAGCAACTTTTTTTTTTCCCGGGATTTCTATTTTAAGTTTACAAGTTTTATTTACTTGGGTACAACATATACACCGGAAATGTACAAAACATAGGGAAGTTTCATGACTATCTTACCGGCACTGTTCTTGGCTGGACATTCTAGCCTTTTTTCTCGGCTCAATGACCCAAAACAATCGTGAGAAAAGGCTTTTTGTTTTTTTTTTTAAGCTCAGCAATTGCAGTTTCTTGCCAAGAAATGCACCATGCTTTCATTTCATGGTATTTCCTTGAGCCCACACAGAATATGCGTCAGTGGAATAGCAATCAGAGAGAAAGACATCCTTGAATACAAAAGCCTGAAGAGAAACCAAGGCAGGCGTGCAACTCACACAAGCATCCACCTTCCAAGACCCCACTACATACACCCAAGTACACTCGCTCATACAACGATTAGTCAGCTTCTCCAACGTGACAGAAACCACTCCAGCACGCAGACATCTCCAGGTTGCAAAAGAGCTCGGCGATGGTCCAGCATGCCTCGGTTAGGCACGGCATCAGCGTGATCACAACTCGCAACATGTACCACGAGTAGTCACTGCACACCACAACAACGCTCAACCACATCTGAGACATGCCGCACATGCTTGTCAACGACGACGCATGTGCAGCAGCAGTGCTCGTCATGTTTCTGGGGACTGTGAGGGGCACCCTCCGATTAGCACACACGGTGTTATCATGTGGAATGAGTTTGATTGGACCAGACGGCGCTCCCCGTCTTGAGTGAGATGCTGCCAGGGTGACGTGATACAGGGGAACTTAACAAGTCGTGAGATCACACTGAGGAAAGCACGCTAAAGCAAAACATGACTGACAAAAAAAATTCCTTTTTCTTAGTAGTTCCTGCAATTGTAATTCCATGCTTCCCTGGAAGTGGAAAATGTTTACCGCGACAACTTGATGTACAAGACAGCCTAAATAAAGGGCACGTTGTGCCATGAAAGGTTGGGCTAGCCTTTTCGGGGCAGAACCCATAAAAATATATGCTTTTTATAAACAGGACATTGCACACAAGACTGGGGGCAAATCTGACACATATTTATAAAATGCTCGTAGTAGCAACGAATAAATGAATACAAGTGTGGCAAACATTACACAGAGTACTAAGAGAAAGAAATGCCGAGTTAGTTTGGTCATTTCCACAGGTGCACCCTACTGCGAGGTTTCGCGTGACATACACCTCCGGCTCAACACCTCACCAGATGCCATCTTGATTGACTTTTCTTTCTGTGCTCGGTGACAGTGTTTCCCAACTGGCTAGAGTTCTTTTGCGTCGTGATCGTCAGAGTCAGC